ATAGACCCCATATTATTAATATTTTATTAAATTATATTAATATTTATAAAAACTTTTTAAAAATTCAGGCAAATTTGTCTGAAAAATGGTTTAAAAGATACTTGTATATTTGTTTGTATATTACATAAAAAAAATATGTAAATAAAAATCTTATTCTTAAATTTATTTTTAGATAGAATTACTTTAGGTTTTTTTTTTTTTTTTTTTATTAAAAAAAAAATTTATTTTATTTTATTTTATTTTATTTTAGTTTATTTTTTTTTATATTTAAATAGTAAAATTTTTTATTTGTTAGCAAGTTATTTTTTTGCTATTCTAACTTATATTTTTATAGTATATAACTTTTTAACTTTTTGTTATTTGTAATAATTTTTTATTTTTTTTATTTTAGAATTAGATATTAATAACTTTTTATTTTTTCTATCTTAGAACTAGATATTAATAATTTTTAATTTAATATAAATTAGATTAAAAGAGATATAAGATCTTAATATGAGCTAAAAGTTGCTATTTTTTGATTATTAGTATTCTTTTCTACTGATAAAATAATATTTATAGAAAATAAAATACTTTTGTAGCAGATCAAACTTAAGTTCTATTTAGATAGCCAAACTAGTTTTAAATTGTAATAAGAAGAATAGTAAAGTATTATATCAAGATATAGTATATTTACAATACCTATATTATTTTATTTGATGATTTTTTTAATAAAATAAAAAGCAAAATTATTTAAGTAGAAAAAAAAATAATTTAATAATAAAAAAAATATTTAAAGTATAATAATATTATATATTATATTATTATTTGCAAATAAAATATTATTATTATCTTTTTTCAAACTAATATCATCAAAATTAATAACCTGTTAAAACTAATAAAATTTTTTTATTTACTATAGTGCAGGAAGTCTTAACTAGCTAATGTTTCAATTTTATATATACTGTATAACCTAAATTAGCCAATCAAATTGTTAGAATAGATAATACAAACTAAATTAAAAAAATTTTGAAAAATTTTATTTTTTAAAGCTAAATTTTGATTGGTCAAAAAAATTTTTATAATAAAAATTTAAGTTTTTGATTGGTTCAAATTAAAAATTATATATGTTTCAATTTTTATTTTTTAATATAAAAATAATCTAAATTTAAAAGCTATTAATTCTTTATAAAAATGATATTTTTAAAATCTAACTAGTAATTTTGTAGAGCTTGTCTTGAAAAACAAAATTACTAGTTTAGTTTTTTAAAATTCTGATTTTTTAAGGAGTTAATAAATTTTAAAATTATCTATTATATCAGTAAGTTAAGACTTCCTGCACTATAGTTATTATATAAATTCTTATTAAAACTAATAAATCTCTTAAAACTAATTAAATTTTGGTCTACCAAATATATCAATTTGAAAAGAATCAATAGTAATATAATTTAAAAAAATAAAATTAAATTAAATTAAAATTAAAAATAAATCGAAAATTAAACTAAAAAAATTTTAAAATATTATTTATACAAAATTTATATAAATAAAACATAATTAATACAGTTTTTTTTTTTTTTGTATATTAATTACGATTTAAAACTTTTATTTTATACAGTATTTACTATAATATTTTTAAAATATATATTTTACAAATAAATTGTTATAATTATAACTTTGAATTTCATTATAAAATATATAATCTATAATTCAATTTGAAACCGTTAATTTTTAATAAGATCTTAGAAACTTAAACCACTACTTTTATTTATTTAATTTATAAATTAATAAAAAAAATTTTTTTTTTAATAATATATATTATATACATAAATAGATTATAATATAATAAAAAAAAAAGTAATTCTAATTATGGTAAGAAGACTTTGGTTTTTTTCTAGTTATCTTTGGTAAAAAAAAAAAAAAAAAAAATTTTCTTAAAAATATTATATAATTTTTTTTTTTTTTTTTCTCACATCCTTTCCCCCCAAAAAAATATATATATATAAAACAATCGAATTATCGTTTATGATAAAAAGGTTTAAAAAAAAAAAAACGTACACGCGTCAATGTGTAACATAAAAAACATCATTCGATTATCATGATTTTTTTTTTTTTTTTCATGAAAAAAACATTTGAAAGCGAAATTTCGTGTTGTAAAAAATTCAATAAACTTTTTTTTATAATACAATTTATATTGACAGAACATTATTAAAAATTTATATAACTAATATAAATTTATAATAACCTAATATAAATTTTATATAGTAACTATATATAAATTATATTAATTGTACGACAAAAAGTAAAAGAATATACGTATTAAAATATATTTACAGTATCAAATATTATATATATTTCAAGTAAAAATACGGGATTTAATCTAGTTCATATTCAAATTACGTAGGGAACGTGTGTTCCATTCATTATTTTAAACATAATAATAAACAATCGATATAATGATTACTAAAAAAGCAACTTTATACACAACGTTTTTTTATTTAATTTTTTTTTTTTATCCATAAGAAAAATTATTTCATAAAGAATAAATTCGTAGTCATAGTAAACAAAATTTGCTTAAAAAAAAACAAATAATCGTAGAAAAACAAAAATAATCGTAAAAAACAAAAAAAAAAAAACTTTTTTCTTAAATAAAAAAGAAGCTACCGGAGTTCTTTAAATTATCATAAAAAAAAAAACATAAATTTGCGAAAAAAAAAAGCTAAAAAAAAAAAAAGGAGGAAAACAAAAAATTTAATCTAAAGTTTAATATAACTACCAAAATAAAACGGGGGGGAAAAAAAAACAAAAATATAACAAAAATGCATTAGACCAATAACATGCACCCATCTGCATCTTTATTCGTCATGCTTTGAGAAATATTTGTTGCAGGACCACTATTCATGTACTTGCGTAAAATCTTATTAATCGCGTATATGACACAACTCCATGGAAAGACTTTAACATCTTTTTCAATATTCCTAGGTTTCGGAGCAGGAAATCCCATGATAACTCTAAATAAATCTTCACTTTCTTTCTTATTTTTTCCTACAGTTAATGGTTTAAAAATTTCTAAATTTCTACGAATTCGATTTTTTTCATCTTGAGTTAATCTAATTCCAGTTAAACATTCTAATAAATAAATACAATCTACTGAAGTAATATAATATTCATCTTTTGCTTCCCACCAAATACATGAAACAAAAATTCCATATTTTGGTCTTTTATCAGGTTTAACAGGTTTAAAAGTTACTCTAATTTCATCACCTTCAACACGTCTAATAAATTGTATTAATCTTCTTCGATTTTTAAAATCTTTTACTGACCAATTTTGAGCCATTTTTTGAATATCACCATCAATTATAAGTTTAACTTTGTTTAAAAGTTCATAAAGTTGAGTTTTACAATCAGAATCTGAAGAATTAAGATTTCTTGGACGAGGTGGTCTACCAGATGATGGAACCATAGGACTTTCCTTTAAAGTTATTGATGGGATAACAGGATATCCAAGATATGGATACATTGATGGTGGGAAATGAGGACAAAGCCCGGGAAGAATTGGAGATGTCATTTGATAATTCATTGATTTTACTGTAG